AAGTAGAACAGATAAAAACCTTAACATCAATGTGTGTTTCTATTCTCCCGAATAGCAGGTGAATAGAAACACAAATGTTATTTTTATTTAATATTTATACGCATATTTTTCAAAAATCAAATTATATGTATACGCAAAGAACAAACAAAGACCCATATTTTAAAATATTCGGGAAAATAATACCGCATTTTTATCAACCGGTATATCGCTAATAGCCTACGAAACTGTTTCTATTCACCCCATTTTACGGTACTATATTATCTCTGCAAATTATGAAGAAGTAATTCTGGATTCTTTGGATTATTTAGTTATCAAAAAAGTTAATGCCTATACTGTATACATAAAAAAATTGTGTGTGCACTATGTGCGCATACTTGAAGTGAAACTTCTTATTAACAGCTATTTTTTACGCAAAACAAATAGTTTTTTACACGTAAAAAATTGTTTTTTGTACCTAATAATTAGATTCACTTTTACAAAATTTGTATTAAAATATTAATACTTTTGTTAAATATTAACATGTTAAACTGACATAAAAAATTATCTTTAAAAATGGATAAAGCGGATTTAAATAACGGGCATTGAAATGTGAACCAAAACTAATAAATTTTAGTAACCATATTAGCAGCAATCGACAACACCTATCTTTGGTGTTTTTGTGATTTTGATACACAGGGTGGTCCGAACTGTATTCCAGAAATTTTGGCAGCATATTCTGCAGATAAAAATAAGTAAAAAGTTCATATAAATGAATGTCCTAAAATGTTTAGTTTCGGAGATACAGGGTGTAGAAATTTCATTTTTATTTCGATTTTTTCCAAATAATTTATGAAGTAACGTCAATATTTGGAAGAAAAATGGTGTCTGGGAGTTTTTTGACATGAGAAATTTGATTTTGATGTCAATATGACTCCTACTTGGCGCCACCTACATATATTTTAACTGGTTTGAGGAATAACAACTTTTCGTCGGTAGCTGTATAAAAGTACTGAGTAAAAAAATATACATTTACGACACTTTTTACGTAAAAAATGTATCTTGGTAAAAATCGCTACGAGTAATGGTTCTCGAGATATTTTGAATCGAAATTATCAATACCTGTCGTCATTGACATAAATTAAACATATTGACTAAATAGTTATTAGACTGAAATGATAAATTGAAAATCTTTTTGTGCCAAAAGGTCAACAGAAACTGTTTTATTTATCATCATTTTTTCGAAGAAAAATATATGATTAATTTAAAAAAATAAAAAGTTTCTAAATTTATGATTTCAGTCAAACACTATCTACTCAACATATTTATTTTTAGTCAATAATGACATGTATTGGCTATTTCCATTCTAAATATCTTGAGAACGATTGCTCGTAACGATTTTTACCAAGGGACTTTTTTACTTAAAAAATTACAGAAATGTATATTTTTTCACTCAGTAGTTTTATACAGGTACGGACGGAAAGTTGTCTTCAAAACAGCTAAAATACATGTAGGTGGCGCCTCCTACAAAGAGCAGTCATATTGAGATCAAAATCCAAATTTTTCATGTCAAAAAACTCCCAGACACCAATTTTCATCCAAATATTGACGTTAATTCAGAAATTATTTGGAAAAAATCGAAATAAAAATGAAACTTATACACCCTGTATCTTCGAAACTAAGCGTTTTAGGACATACATTTATATGAACTTTTTGGCTTATTTTTATCTGCAGAATATGCCGCCGAAGTTTCCGGAATACAGTTTGGACCACCCTGTATACGCACCACTTTGAAGCTTAGCTACAAACATCAAAATATTTAATTTTTTTTATTGTTAATTTAAGTTAATTATTGAGTTTTCATTTGCAGTCTAAAGAAAAAATGATGCGAGGCGTACGAAGAGGGTGTGTACGGCTCAAAGGTGCTTCGTTGGGAATCGACGACGAAGACGACAGTACCTTTACCATAACGGTAGATCACAAAACTTTTCATTTCCAAGCCAGAGATGCCGAAGAAAGACAAAAGTGGGTGCACGCCTTAGAAGATACGATATTTAGACACGGAAAAGGGGTGAGTGTGATTTAAAAAAGATGTGTGTGCACTATGTGCGCATATTTGAAGTGGAACTTCTTACTAACAGCTAAGGATATATATTTTTTATGCATGCTTTTTATAAACTTCAAAAAAATTAGAGTTGATATAAAACTGTATACTATTCTAGCTTTATAATTTCATAATGTTTTTTTAATTTTTATTAAAAAACGATAATTCTGTCACTCGGCCGGATATCCTGGCAGCTGTGGCCATTAAACCAAAATACTACTACATCTATATCTCTATAACAATTTGTTTTGTGTGGTCTGTGGTCTGTTTTTGTTTAAATGTTTTGTTCATTATTCATGTTGGGGATTTATTTTTAAATTAATGTTAATCGTTAGCAGGGCCGGATCTACCTACGGGCTGTTTGGGCTGCAGCCCAGGGCCCCGAGGTTACAAGGGGCCCCCAGGCCCCGCAAAAAACAATAGACCCATAGGTAGGAACTGTTGAATCGTGAAATAAAATTAAAATTCAGGTTAAAAGTTTAAGCCAGACAAGATGGCCTTGCCACTATGATGCTGTCAAAGCCTTAAAAAATAATTATGATTACATTATGAAAATTTTCAAAAGTTTCAGCGAAAATGAGGTTGAGAAAGTTGATTTCCGGAAAGAGGCACGAAATTTATTCAATAAAATGGCGAAACTCGAGACTGCAATTTTGATTATCTTTGGGAAGAAGTTTTGGAGAGATTTCATTTAGTTAATAAAAAATACAGAGCCCTGGTTTAGACATTTGTGAAGGCAACAAGTTAATTGTTTCTTTAAAAGACTTTGTGAGCAACATACGACATCAATCAGATCAAATGTTACAGGAATACGACGAAAAAGCTAAAAAATTAAGTACTAGTGTAATAATAGACTACAATTACATAAACAAGAGACGCATTATCCCAAAATTTTCAGATAAGTCTACAGGTGAATTCTCAGTATACGGCGCAGAAAGATTTAAAGAGACACGTTAAAAGTTGCGTTGGATAAGCTGATTATGGATTTAAATAAAAGGAGACAAGTCTATGAGACATATAGCAAAAAATTCAAATTTTTAATGGATTCGCAAGACAAAAATATCGAAAACATAGATTTGGAAATTGCACGTCATATTATTGATTATTATCCCGATGACGTAGACGAGCATTTAGTGAATGAGTGCATTCAATTAAAATCGTACTTACTCCAATCTATGTCTGAGTCTTACCCCTCTTGCAGTAACATTTTTATGCTCATGTATGAAAATAAACTTATTAACGTGTTCCCTAACTGCTATACCATTTTAAAGATTTTTTTAACATTGCCAATCACTAGCTGTGAAGCAGAACGCTCCTTCTCCAAGATGTCCTATGTAGAATATAAATATAGGACAACAATGTCGAACCATCGACTAAATAATTTATCACTTCTTTCCATAAATTGTGATCTAACAAAAGACTTGGAATGCTATGACCAAATAACTGTCAATTTCTGTGACTACAACCTATCAATTTATTTTACTAATTCATAATAAGTAAATAAATAAAATTGTTTTATTGTTTTTTTATATTCTTATAAAATATCACTATTTCGGTTTTTCTCTCACCCAAAGTTTGCCTGGAATAGATCGCTACCACAGCAATAAGGTCGCCTTTTGTACAACTAATACTTGCGTAGATTTAAGTAACATTTATGTTACTTAAATCCACATATCACAAATACCGAAGTGTACAACAGAATAGGCAGAGAAAGAGAATTGCTCAATATAATAAAAATAAGAAAAACATCATACTTAGGGCATATATTGAGAAATGAAAAATACCACGTCTTACAATTGATAGTTAAGGGTAAGATTGAAGGAAAGAGAGGTCTCGACAGGAAGAAACTATATTGGTTGAGAAACATCAGAAACTGGACTCACCTAACTTTTGAAGAACTTATAAGGAAAGCCGAGAATCGTGAAAATTTTGCCAATGTGATCGCCAACCTCCACGAAAGAGACGGCACGTAAAGAAGAAGAAGAATAATATATCATTATAGAAACAGTTTTTTGATATGGCTATTAATTGAGTACTTATGTAGGCCCCTAAGTAGTTTCAGCCCAGGGCCCCACAAATTCACGATCCGCCCCTGATCGTTAGGCAAACTCCTAGAATATGTATTTTTTGCATAATCACAATTGTTACTCTAAATTTTACATAACCAAATTGTTACTCTAAATCGCTGTCTTTTTTAGTCAGATGTCACTTGTCTTGTCATTATTCAATTCATTATTCGAGTTCTCAGAATGTTGTTAACAAAAGTTTCATCCGAGGGGTAAACACATAGGGCAAAAATGGTACACCTACATCCTCTATCCTTAGTACATCCCCTACATCCTCCAGTGCATCCTCAGTACATCCCCTACATCCTCGTACATCCCCTAGTACATCCCCTACATCCTCGGTACATCCACTACATCCCCGGTACATCCCCGGTACATCCCCTACATCCTCTAGTACATCCTCGGTACATCCACTACATTCTCGGTACATCCGCTGGAAATTCTCTCATGTGTACACCATAAATTTAGAATAATTTTCGTGATGAACCGTTTTACGTATCTAAAATACTTTTCGAGATATACTTATCTTAGACACATAATATATTTTTTAAAATTGGGCCGAGAGCTAATTATCTGAACCAATGGGCACTTACCCTAGTATCCTACAGGCAGAAATCTACGCTATCGAGAGATGCGTACAACTTATCTTAGATAGGAACTATCGGAAACAAGAAATAAGCCATCTTATCTGATAGCCAAGCAGCGTTAAAGGCGATCAACTCAGTATCAATCAATCTGGAAATTGGTCAAAGAATGCATAGAGAAGCTGAATAAATTAGGCAAAGAAAACAAAGTCCTCCTACACTGGGTGCCTGCTCATCAAGGGATAGAAGGCAATGAAAAAAGCAAATAATCTAGCTAGGAAAGGAGCGAACACTCCACCTGCCAACTGGACCAGAACCGTTCTGCTTTCCAAGTGGTAACCAACTCAAGGCGAAACTCAAGAACTTGGAAGATTCCATCCGCAACCTGGAATGGAAATCTTGCAATGGTCTAAGACACTCGAAGAAGTTTCTGAGGGCTTATGATCAAGAAAAATCACAGATCTTCCTGGGTCTGAGTAAGAACAATCTTCGGATTGTCACGGGGTTTTTTACAGGACACTGTCTCCTCAATGAACACCTCAGTAGATGGAAACTAAGAAGAAACGGCGAATGCAGATTCTGTGGGGAAGATGGGGAAACACCAGTACACCTCATCACTGAGTGCGCCGAGACGTCAACCATTCGTGCCATGAATTTTGGTACGACTGATATTGGAGATGGAGAACTACCCTCTATAAAACCGTCCCAGATACTGGCTTTTGTCAAAGCCCTGGGACTGTATGATGAGTTATGATTCAAGAAAGGGGGACACAATGGATCTGTAAGGTCGAAGTGATTAACCCCCCTCCCACTCATTCTAAATTCTAATTTATAATAACAAAATTAAGGTTACTTTACTTCCGACGAAACCGGAATTACTATTTAATTGTTATTTATGTTTAGAGCCATCTCCCACTTTATTACGATCTGTATTATATGTATAACTACACAAAGTTTCTGAAACCTCTAGAATTTATTGGCTAGTAATATAGTTGACACCTAGTATTTTTGTTGAATTCAAAAGGATAAAAAAAATCAAAACCATTTAAAAAAAATTATATGGGGTCATCGAGAATCGAACTAAGGCGCGCCAACCCATATCAGATCTTGCCAGAGCTGTAACAATCTCGGTTATTGTGCCTACAACAATTCGCCTTTACTTTTTTTATACAGGGTGAGTCTTAAATAAGTGCAAATATTTTCAGGACTGGTAGATCTCCAGTACATCCTCAGTACATCCCCTACATCCTCGTACATCCCCTAATACACCCCCTACATCCTCGGTACATCCACTACATCCCCTACATCCTCTAGTAGATCCTCGATACATCCACTACATTCTCGGTACATCCGCTTGAAATCCTCTCATGTGTACACCATAAATTTAGAATAATTTTCGTGATGAACCGTTTTACGTATCTAAAATACTTTTCGAGATATACTTATCTTGGACACATAATATATTTTTTAAAATTTTATTTCAATGCTAAAAAGAAAGCTAAAATTTTGAACGCTATTATCTCCGAAACTATTCAAGATATCAAAAAAAGGTGAAGCACCATTTCGACTTACATTTACTAGTAGGATATAAAAATTTACACGGTGTTTTATTTATAATAACAAAATTAAGGTTACTTTACTTCCGACGAAACCGGAATTACTATTTAATTGTTATTTATGTTTAGAACCATCTCCCACTTTATTACGAGCTGTATTATATGTATAACTACACAAAGTTTCTGAAACCTCTAGAATTTATTGGCTAGTAATATAGTTGACACCTAGTATTTTTGTTGAATTCAAAAGGATAAAAAAAATCAGAACCATTTAAAAAAAAATGATATGGGGTCATCGAGAATCGAACTAAGGCGCGCCAACCCATATCAGATCTTGCCAGAGCTGTAACAATCTCGGTTATTGTGCCTACAACAATTCGCCTTTACTTTTATTATACAGGGTGAGTCTTAAATAAGTGCAAATATTTTCAGGACTGGTAGATCTCGATAAAAGAAACATATTTTCTCATTACCGTTTTTTTAAATAAGTCCAAAATAACCGAGTTATTTAAGTTTGAAAATTTAAAAAAAATTGATTTTTTTTGGAAAAATTTTGAGAGCCACCGGATTTTTTCTGTATTTGCATCCCTTTTAGTGCTGTAACCATAGACTACAGCTGTAACTATGATAATATCAGAGATTAAGAAATTAGACCGTGGGAAAATTTGCGGTGAACAGGCAATTCTAAAAAGTTTTCGAAAAATATACAGGGAAATTTAAAATAAAATGCATGATTTTCTACATCTTTTTGTGAAAAAAAA